AATATAATGATAAATAATTTAATCATAGTTGTAATGTAATTCTAATCGATCTTAACTAGTATAATAAATATCAGCGTAGTTAATATAAGTTGTTTAATCATTGTGTGATTCAAACTTTACAGTATATTTATCAGTTTTATTGGATATGTTCCAATAATCAGCTTTCTTTTTCTCCAACCTAAAAAAGTACGAAACAATAATAATTTTAAGATATTCTTTGAGAAATTGTTGAAAAGATTAAATTATCGGGAAAAAACTTAATTATTGTTTATGAATAATCAGGAGAAGCAAAAAAAAAACGTATTTATAATTTGAATGTATAATTCGTGTAAGTGGCTTAACTATGGATATATATTCTCCGAACATATTTGTTAATCACTTTTCATTTTATATTATGTTTCAGTAATAAAAAATAAGAAGAGAATTTTATCAATGTATTCTTAAAAATTTATTAGTACTTTCTTAAATTTATCAGATGCAAAATTAATATAAAACAACAATTTTTAATATAATGATCAACAAATATGATATAATGATTTTTAATATAATGATTAATTAATATGAGACAGAATAATATTCGATAATCAATAAAAACTTTTCAAGGATAACGATTAAATCACCTTTAATTACTTGGTGTGTGGCTTTATATATGCATTCAAAAATTACTAGACTATATTAAGACTTTGATATGGATGAACAAAAGATTTGGATTATTGATGTGTCTCTGACGTGCCATTTATCTCAATTTTAATTGGATATTATTTGTAACTGAAATATATGACGAAAGACTAATTCCAAGCTATCTAATTAATTTGCCTTCTGATTTGGAGCTTACTCTTCAAGCCAAGCAACTTTAGCCAATAATCGTCCTTATCAAGTGCTCTATCGGATTTGATTAATTCAAACTAATATATAAAATTAAAATAATAAGTCATATGTTAATTAGTGGGGTGTTAAAAAAGAAATAAAATAGTAATCTTAGCATATAATTAGTATTTCTTCGAATTTATTTCAATTTATGTGATACTTTTATTTTTGAAAGTCAAATCACTTAGATTTGATTGACAGCTTATTTACGAAATCTTTTTAATCTCGTAATTCAAAAAGTGTCACGGAAATGGAGGGAGTAATTGTGTTAAACGATTTCTCTAATGAAATATTATTAGAAATATATAGATGTTTGGATTCCAGCTTTTACATGAGGCGCCGCCCTATTTTTCTTATTTTAATTTCTTGGCTGCAAGACCAACTTTAAGAGAAAGAAACCCTACTTTGAATTTGCAAAAGTAATTAAATTTAATATGTCCAATATTGACCACCTTCACTGGTTGCATTTTATTCTTTTAATCAATTGAGGGAGGCTAATTTGGTGCAAGAGAAAAACATAAGAAAATGGGTTGGTAAACTTGCACTCAATTGGTTCTACTACTTTCTCATTTTGAACCTTAAATTAGAGGCCAATTAATATTAGTTGTAATTTTCATTCTAATTTTGTACAAATTAACAACAAGTATCTGAATATTATACTTCTTTCGAATCAATTTATCTGTCACATCTTTTATTTACACACCTATTAAAAAATTATACATATTTATATTTTTTAGCTTTAATTGTTTTAAATATGTTAATATCTCTTCAATAAGGATTATGTTTTGATAAAAAGAGAATATCTCTCTCTATATATATTCCTTTTACTTAAGATTTTATAAATATTAATAATCAATGTTAATTACTTTAAAAATAATTATTGCTAAAAGACAAAATAGAAAGAATATAGTTCTTTATTTTGAGTTTTCAAAGTAGCAGTGTTGATATTGTATTTTTATCTTACACTGTACTTTAACAGGATATAAAATACATTTTATTTTCATATCTCGAGACTCAAAAAGTTAAAATACTACTTATATAGCCAATCAATCCTAGGAATCAAAACTGCAAACTGTTGATAACTTTATTTAATAATATATTAGAGTATCCATGGGGTATCAAAATAAATACAACAACTAGATCCTCTCATTCCAATGAAGATTCTTTATTATATAGTAGATTCCTTTAAAGAAATAAAAGTATTTCTGTCATAACAACAATTTTTTAAGTAGATATTTTCTTAAATAATTTATATAATAAAGTTGTACATTACCATATAATATTTCTTTATAATCGCTTCACTTAGTTGCTGAATACAATGTACACAAAACTATAGCAAATAGAAACGTATTTTAAGTATAAATACATGTGAAGAAAAAGAAAAAAAAACATAAGTAGTATTGCAACGTGTACTTGAGTCACATCCTACCCCTAAACATACGCCCCCCCCCCCACACACACAACAATTTGGAGAGAAAAAATTTAGTATGATATTATATCATACTATGTTGTGTTAATGAAATATAATGTTTAAATAGATTATGTTAATGTTGTTGTTATATAATGTCAGACATCTATAATTTCAATGATATAAATCTACAAGAAAAATAGGACACATGATATAATTACTATGAAAAGATAAAATATATTTAATAAATAATAAAATAAAAAGAAAATATAGACATACTAAAATTAAATTATACGTTACATGAAACAAATCTTTTGGTCATTATCTAAGTATATTACAATTTTTTTAAAAAGAGCCCTAGTCAAAAATACCTTTACAATTTTCCCTTTTTTATATGTCACGTGAGGTTACCTCCAAATAACTAGGAAACGCACGTGACAAAAGAAAAAAAGCTTTTAAAATTTAAATTCCAGAAAGAATCTCGTGAAATGAAATACACGTGACGTCAGCGAGACTAGTGGTGAGTGGTCGATACTGAAAATTAATTTCACAAAATTTTGGTTGAGAGTAACAGCTCAATTCCGTCAAAAGCACTTAAAATAAATATTTTTTTCCCTCTTCATTTTTACTTGTCACATTTTAAACTTTGAATCGACATATTTATCAAATAAATACTCATTCCGTTTAATTTGAAATTGGTGGAGAGTTTTGAAAAAATATTTTCCTTAATTTTTGAAGGGACATTTTTTTTGAGAAAAAAAGAGTTGATTTCGAAAATATTTTTTCAAAACTTTTGCCCAAACTAAACATGAGAAAATTGGAAAACATTTTTCAAAAAATGTTTTCCTTCATACCAAGCACACTCTTAAACATGATATAGGAAAAGTTAAAATTAAAATGTTGTCAAAAAATAAAAATGGTCATTTTTTTTAATTCAGACTAAAAATAAAATAGGGTCATTCTTTTTAAAAAAAGAAAGTATTATAAAATAAAGGTGAATTTAACATTTTTAAATATAATTATTATTTAATATAAAAATATATTTTTTAGACTGACTATTTTTTTTAAAAAAAATATAAACTAAGAAATGGATAATAATAATAAAGAAAACAAACAAATAGAACCCAAGTAGGATTTGTGCGTCTTTCTCTATATAAAGAAGCCAAAACACAATTTTACAAGCATCAAAACAATTAACAAATTAGAGAGAGAAAAAGAGGGAGAGCCAAAAGAAGGAGTTTAGTGTAGAAATATGGGCGGTTGGGCTATAGCGGTGCACGGTGGCGCTGGTGTGGACCCAAATCTCCCAGATGAACGTCAACAACAAGCTAAGCAACTCCTTACTCGTTGCCTTAACATTGGAATCTCCGCTCTTCGCTCTTCTCTACCTGCCATTGATGTCGTTGAACTCGTTGTACGTATCTATTATCCACTAACATTCAGCTATTATTCGCTTCGATTCGTAAAAAAAATAAATCAATCTCAGATCTACATTTGTGTGAATTCCATTTTTTTGCATGTCGTTTTTTTTTTCTTTGAATTGACGGTTTTGATTCTGGTTGTACAGGTGAGAGAACTTGAAAGTGATCCTCTATTCAATTCGGGTCGTGGATCTGCATTAACTGCAAATGGAACAGTGGAAATGGAGGCGAGCATTATGGACGGCGATGGTAGACGATGCGGCGCCGTTTCTGGTATCTCCACCGTGAAAAACCCAATTTCTCTCGCTCGCCTTGTCATGGATAAATCTCCTCATTCTTACCTCGGTTTCTCCGGCGCCGAAGAATTCGCCAAACAACAGGTCAATAAATTACCAGATTTTTTTTATAAAAAAATCAAATCATTGCAATTGTTAAATCCTAACAATAATTTAATAATGAATTAATTTTTATTATCAGGGCGTGGAAATGGTAGACAATGAATATTTCATAACTGAGGACAATGTTGGTATGCTGAAGCTAGCCAAAGAGGCTAACACCATTTTGGTATGTTAACACATGTCATAAACATTTGTTAATGATAACATAAATTGATTAATTGACAAATTTTATAAAAAAAATTCAGTTCGATTACAGAATTCCATTAACTGGATTGGATTCGTGTGCGGCATCCGTTGAAAGCCCAATTCACATGAACGGATTACCGATAAATATTTATGCACCGGAGACGGTCGGATGTGTGGTGGTAGACCGGCAAGGCAGGTGCGCCGCCGGTACTTCCACCGGTGGTTTAATGAACAAAATGACCGGTCGGATCGGTGATTCACCTCTGATTGGTGCTGGGACCTACGCCGGTGAGCTTTGTGGGGTGTCATGTACAGGTGAAGGAGAAGCTATCATACGTGGTACCCTAGCACGTGACGTGGCAGCAGTTATGGAATACAAGGAATTGGGTCTTCAAGACGCAGTAAACTTTGTGATTAAGAAGAGATTGGATAAAGGTTTCGCTGGGCTTATTGCTGTGTCTAACAAAGGGGAAGTGGCTTTTGGGTTTAATTGTAATGGAATGTTTAGAGGATGTGCTACTGAAGATGGATTTATGGATGTTGGTATTTGGTAATACAGATTTTAGAGAGACTTTTGAGTTTATTAGGCTTTAATTTTCATTTAGCGATGCTTGATAAATAATTACTAGTACCAATGTTTTAAGTTTAATTTTGTATTGGGCTTCATAAAGTAATGAACTCCGACGATTTTTGGCATTATGCTATTAATATTAAGACATCTTTATCAAACCAAACATTTTACCATTATTCAAGTTGTATTACATGCACAAAAAACAGAGGAAATGATGTATCTCAATCTTTTTTGCCACCGGCACCTGCAATGGTTTCCTTGGCAGACTCAATTTTTTCAGCCAAAGAATCACCAGTTTCACGTTTCTGATAGGTTAGAGGAACATGTGTGATTTTCACATCTTCTTTTTGTGGTTCTTCATCTTCATGTCCAGCTGATTTTTTGTAATTTGTAGTATCCACCTTATGAGTCTCTTCTGCACCCTGTAACAAACAACAACAAATTAAGATAAAAACACACTAGAAATTAAATTATTGATGAAAACAGAGTTTGTGTGAGTGATTTTGTAACCTTTGAAGTGTCCATGTCTTTTCTTCTTTCAATGAGTTAAAGCTTAAGGTGTTTTGAATTTTACGAATGTTGTATAAATATTGGTAGGTTTGTGATTTGATGAGATCAAATGGATAAACAAAAAATATAATGGTACAAGGCAAGGACACGTTTTATATGTTAAAGATGCGTAATGGCTAGGTACAATTGGTTGAATGAATAATATTTTTATGAAAGTTTGACACGTATGAATCAACTTGGCACATTGTCATCCTTTACAACACAAATTGTGTAGTTAAGGTCAATTTGTTGGGCGTTTTAAGGATTGGAAGTTTAACTTTAAATTGAAAATTGTATTTGGACATTTGCATCAATCAATAATTTTTTCATAATGTTTGTTTACATTGAGTAATATTTTGTCTTTATTTCGATTTCATATCAAGAATATTTCGCAAATGGATATTAGGCCAAGTAAAAGGAATAGGACGAGCCCTTCCTATTCAAAACTTGGAATATAGCAAAACGTTTACTATTGTGGTAACAAAGTTCATTTTGTAAAAGAAATAATACAAAGGATTGGAAAGAAGTTCTAAGAGAATATATTAGAAGGGAAAAAATTAAAGAAATTATAAGTATTCGACGATGTAAAATTGTTTAGGCTCAAAAAAGCATGAGCAAACATATGAGCAAGTTGAACTTGTGATGATGTTGTTAGATGAATGCCATCTGAACCTACTTCGAGTCCCTTAGCATCAATCTTTATTACATTTGAGATGTTGATTGCCAATTGAGCTGCTCTTACTTCTTCTATATAGGGCCCTTTAAATGGTTTTTTAGGATACGGTATGATAACCTGACATAAAATTAAATAATAAAGTGAAATACGAATATATTAATAAACAATCACACAATTCAACATCGAAAATGCTAACAAACTAGTAGCTCTATCACATGATCGACTAGACTTTTGAGTTTGGCCTATTTTATTTGGTCTATATAACAATCATCACCTAAAGATACATGTTAAAAATAAGATAAAGAACTCCAAAAACATGAGTTCAATAGAATCCAAATGATCACATCACAAATTATGTTGATTAATTACCTGGAAAATGGGAAGATTAGATGAATTCAAATCACTACGCAAATCATGAATAAATTTCTCCAAATTGATCTTATAATCTTTGTATCCATTTCCTCCTTTTACATCACTTTCACCATGATACCATAATAACCCCCTAATAATTCCACCACTTTTTTCAGCAATTTTTGCTCTTTTAACCAATTCATCATAAGGATGAGTCCCAATTCTCCATTTATCCAAACTAGTTCCTCCTCTAGCACAAGGTACCAAACCAATTACACCAAAATTCGAGTCTTTTTTAAGAATTTCATTAGCAAATGCCATTCCAGGACCAAGTCCACAACTCGTTAAACAATCGATCCCATAATTTAGAGGCTCGTGTGCTTCTTCCCATTTTTGAGCTACGTTTAATCGTATAATTTTATGATTTGGTTTACATTCTTTAGGCACAAATCCATTCCAAACTTTAGTAACATTTCCTCCAACAATTTTTTTAATGACTCCACCACGTCCTGCCATGTTGCTTTGTCCTGCTAATAGGAAAACTTGTACTTTTTTCATGACACTATTTGTAGTGTTACATTCCTTCACTCTTTTTGGACTCATTAACCAACATAAGTTTGAGACAAGTAAAAGAAATGTTAAGATCAAAATTATTTCATCATTTTTGTGCTTCAGCATATTGTGGTGGTGAATCACTTTAGAGGTAAACTTGAAATAACGCAAAGAAACGGTGTTTTTTTTTTGTTTTATATTATTTTGATGAGAAAGTAGCTTTTATTTTCTATTTTTCTTTATTTAAGAGGATTAATGTAATTATACCCAAGTTCTATGTATAATGCAATTCTTATATTATCTTACTTCCTTTTTTTTTTAATTTCATTTTAGTGAGTGCAGTTAATCTCAACACTTGCTTCAATAATGAGTGAATGAAATGCATAGACAGAATACTTTCTTTAAAAAGATAAAAGATAGAAAAAGAGAGAACGAAATCTTTTAAAAACAATGTTAGGATGGATTCATTGCATTTATTATCTTCTAGAATATAAAACTATTGAACATGAGGAGATTAAATAAAGATTTTTAAAACGTTCATAAAAAAATGTTTATATTTGTTTTTTTTTAATTAATTACTTTAAATATGGTTGTGAGCCATTAATGTAGGGTTAGGCTTCTTTTTTTTTGTTGGAGGGGGTTAGGCTTCACCCCTAGCGTTTACCAAGAAATAAGTACGAGTTCGTGGCGGTGTTTGGTGGATGTTAATCGTCAAACTTGTGATTGATAAATAAAAATTGATTTTTTTAGTAAAGTATAAAATATATCGTCAAATATTTAATAAAATTCCACAAACTCATAAGAACAATTACGCAACTACCTGACAAAAATATATAGAAGGAATAGCGTACACTATTTTTCTTACTTTAGTTTTGAATTAATTGATTAGTTCAAGTTAGACAAAAAAAAAAATAGAAAAGAAAAAGAGTTTATCGCTAAATCTAATCTTCTATTCCACGCACTGGTAAAAAGCATGCTCCGGTAGCATACAATGAAATAAAACAATCTCATCATTTGTTTGACATCTTGATGGTCTTTCTCTCCATATCAATACTCTAGAAACGAAAAGGCTCAAAAATATTTTTAAACTATCGAAAAAAGTTGATCATATTTACATTTAAACGATATTCAGGTTTAAAATTATTCTTCCAGTCAAAGTATTGGATTACACTTACCCTTTTAGTTAACAAAAGTATATTAAGTGTCACGTGAACGCCACACAAGTGCCAAACATTTCTCAATTCCACATAGACTAATAAGATCACTAATATCTAATTTCCCCTTATTTCTTTTAAGATACGAGTTCGTCTACTTCTCCTCATTTCCCCGTTTCCCTTGGAAATGATTTCACCCCACCCTTTTCCCTCATTTCGTAAGAAACGATTTCACAAATTTCTTCATTTCGTGACTGATAGCCTCTGCAGGCGGATTACGATATCATATTATTCAATATCAATTTGTTATAAATAAGATCAAGATTTAATATCAAGAAATGAAATAATACGATTTTTCAAATGAAGATTCCGACACTGTTTCGAAATCTATGTCAACTTCGAAATCCAGCCACAAAATAAAGAAATCTGTGAAGTCGTTTCTTACGAAATGAAGGGAAGTGCTGAAATAGTTTCTAAGAACAATAGAGAAATGAGGGAAAAATTAGCGGAAATGAGTGAAATCGTATCTTAAGAGAAATGCGGGTGAAATTAAATATTAGGGTTATTATTCTACATGGAAGTGAGAAATGTTTGGTGTGATCTTCATGTGGAGTCCACGTGACACTTAACATACTTCTAGTAACTATGAGGGTAATTATAATCCAATACTTTGACGTCGAAGATAATTTTGAGCTGGAATATAATTTAAAAGTAAATCTGAGCTATATCCGATAGTTAAAAGGTAATTTTGAGCCTTTTTCATTCTAAAAATCTATTTGTAGTGAAATTTCTCTATATATCAACTGAAATCATTTTATTTTGGACGTGATACTATAAACCTTAAGTACTAAACCTTTGTTATATATAGGACATAATTTTATATATCAACATCTCAATTACTTGAGAATGATCGATTAAAAATGAGTTACTACAACGTTTTATGCTCTTTTAGAGAGCTTTATGAAAACCGTAACTAGTATAGTATTTAGATAATGTTCAATCTTTTTTGAAAAGGTTATTTAATTACACAAATATTTTTATTATAAATTACAAGCCAAATACACCTCTCTTTTAGATTTCAAGTTGATTACATGTATCAAAAATACTAGATACATATATCTTTGACATCAAATATATACATTTTGATATACAAATACATAGGGAGGGTGAGAGTCGATTGAGAGTCGGGTGAGAGGAGGGCGACTCAATTGACATATTTAATTATGACCTTATTTGACATTTATGTCTCAGAAATTTTTTCCCTGATCATCTTCAAAAAAGTATCATTTTCTAATAACGTCTTGATATTATCATTCACACTCAGTTTTATCTTTCCTGCTTAATTGAGATAGACAAATCAACTATTTGACTTAGAAATAGAAAATTGACATAGAAATACTTCAATAATTTTGCGCGCATGAGGAGATTATCCCAAGTCCATTTGTATAATTTTGAGTAGATTTGTATAGTTTTGTGGGAAAATGCTTTCTACACTAAATTTTCTTCAAATAATTGATTATATCAAAAGTTTGAGAAATATTAATTCTTACATATAAAATTTCTCAATTGAAGAAAAGAGAAATGCGAATTTTCTTTCTTTCAAATAAAATATTTACATTTATTGATATCTGTAATTGACATTATTTTCTAGATTAATATAACATTAATAGATTCAGAATTTAAAAATGATTACATATCATTGCTATTTTGATTTCTCCGTGACTAATGAATGTGAATATCAATCCATCAATAAAGAAATCAATAAAATTTAAAAACATTTTTTATGAAAATGATATAAAAGTTCATTTAAAACGTAGTTATACAAAAATCAACAGAAAAATCTAAGAGAATATATTAAAAGGGAAAAACTTGTGGAAACTAAAAGTTGTAAAATTGCTTAGGCTAAAAAAAGCATGAGCAAACATATGACCAAGTTGAATTTGTGCTGATGTAGTTAGATGAATTCCATCTGAACCAATTTCTAGTCCCTCAGCATCAAATTTTATCACATTTGAGAAGTTAATTCCCAATTGAGCTGCTCTCACCACTTCTATATATGGCCCTTCAAATGGTTTTTTCGGGTACGGTACGATGGCCTGTCATATAAATTTTAAACAAATGAGTTTACTATCTATATTTTGACGTTAGAAGAATTATTAACGCATAAATAAATTATTCATAAAGTAATTAATTAGCTATCAAAATACAAACTACGTAAATATGTTGAGTTGAGACACAAATTATCATACAACAAAATCACCACCAAGGCTAATGATTTATAATTTAGTAATATTCAAAAACATGAATTCAGGATTTTAAGTTTACACGTTTTAGGATGGACTTAATTACATAATAGATTAAGAACATATTACTTGTATTATCAAGTGAATTTTGTTAACAAAAAAATAACGTCTTGGTTAAAGTTACTGAATCTGCCGAACCTATAGTCTTACGCACACAACACGGGCTAGTTCAATTCTCACTTCTCACCCTTCTCCAATATTACAAAACTAAAAACTAATAAACTCACAAACGATAGATGAAACATAATATCATCAAAAAATTAAAATAAGAAACATGTTTACCAGCAAAATTGGGAGATTAGGAGAATTCAAATCACTACGCAAATCATTGACAAATTTCTCAAATTTGATCTTGTATGAACTTGATCCATTATTTGTTCTTATATCACCCTCACCATGATACCATAATAACCCCCTAATAATTCCTCCATCTTTTAAAGCTAATTTTGCTCTTTTAATTAAATCATCATAAGCATAAGATCCACGATTCCATCGATACAAACCAGTTCCTCCTCTAGCACAAGGTACTAAACCAATCACTCCGAAATTAGAGTCTTTTTTAAGAATTTCATTAGCAAATGCCATTCCAGGACCAAGTCCACAACTCGATAAACAATCGATCCCATAATTTAGAGGCTCATGTGCTTCTTCCCATTTTTGAGCTGCGTTAAATCGTATAATTTTATGGTTTTTTTTACATTCTTCAGGCACAAAACCATCCCAAATTTCTGTTACATTTCCTCCAACAACTTTTCTACTGATTCCACCGCGCCCTGACATGTTGCTTTGCCCTGCTAATACGAAAATTTGTAGATTTTTCTTCTTACATTTTGTCACACTTTTTGGACTCATTAACCAAAATAAGTTTGAGACAAGTAAAAGAAATGTTAAGATCAAAATTATTTCATCACTTTTGTGCTTCAACATGTTGTAATGAAAGGTGAAATTGGAATAAACAAAAGAAATATAACACAATTGTAATTTTTTCTTTAGAAGGATTTGGAATATGCACATGTTTATGTATATTATTATTGTGATATTATTTTACTTCCTTTTTTAGTTAGTGCACTTAATCTCATCACTTCCATTCGTTTTAATGAAATGCATAGATTAAAGAAAAGGTGATAGCTAAAGTATAGAGGGGAAAAAAGATCAACGAATATCCTTTCAATCATGTAGGGGGTGAATTAAGGTTATACTAGAATGGATTCATTGCATTTATCATCTTCCGAGATAAATAAATTATGCCAGATTAATCTGTCGTGCTTTTCTTTTACACATCTCTTAAGAAAATATTAATTAGGAGAGTCTTTTGAATATTTTAACCTCTTTACATATTTACTCTAATATTTTCCGTATTTGTAATCTTCAAGAACAATCACTAAAAGTGATTAAAGAAACATTTTCTTAATAAATTTGCCGGTTATCCCTTTTTCATATAATTGTTTATCATACATCTTATTTACTTTTCTTACAATTGATGGAACCTTTAGACTATGCTCTAACAATCCCTTTGGAAGAATCTGATTATTATTTTTTTGAGAAAACATTTAATCATGTCTTAAATTTTGTAAGTTATATCGTCTAATATAATTTTTGTAAGATTGAGTAATGTATGAGCGAAAAGTAGACTTGAGTATAATATTGTTCCAAAGAGTAGTTCTCTAAGGACTATATTTGCAAAACTTTTTAAAATGGGGACAAAATTTTAAAAAATAGCCAATTCAGTTAGCAAAATTTAAAAAATAGCCAACTCAACCTGTCCTCTAGAACCCCATGGGCCAAAAGGCCCATTCATCAAGCATTTGAGTGATCTTGTTAGTAACATCGCACTAAAGACTCAAACGTAGATCTAAAATTAAAGGAGAGATAGTTGAACGATTTCTCTCTTTTCTAGGGGAGAGCATGGTTTTAGTTGGATCACCTTTTTTGCTCCCACTTCTCTTGACAATACTATTAATATTATTCTAGTATAATCTACATAAATCACATAGTATTGAGGGCTAATGACAGTTAGGGGCGGATCCATATGGTGTCCGCCGGGTGCTCGAGCACTCATTAACTTCGTTACGAAATATATATATTTATGTGGAAATCGATAGGTATTTGTATAAAATTAACATAGAGCACCTAATGAATAAATCATATAGTTGACCCAATGGTTCTAGGATGGGTACTTAAGACTCTTTTAATGTTGTTGTACCAAGGTTTGAATTTCATTGTTAACACATATTTTTTATAGTTTCACTTCAGATCACCCACAACCTTAAAATCCTAGATCCGCCACTGATGACAGTTTCCCTACTATTTATGAAATTATAAGAATTTCTCAAATTCGGATGCATCACTAGACTTTCGGATAACGTAAAACTTACCCGCATGAAGTGTTTACACCAAGCCTACGCGAGT